TTTTAATTATAATTATAAATATATGATAAAGTGAATACAGTCGTACCTTGGTTCTCAAATTTAATCTGTTCCTTTCCGTTCGACTCCCAGGACAGTTCGGAAACCAAGGCGCGGCTTCCGATTGGCTGCAGGAGCTTCCTGCAGCCAATAGGAAGTTGCGGAAGCCGTGTCAGATGTTTGGCTTCCAAGAAACGTTCGCAAACTGAAACACTCACTTCTGGGTTTGTGACATTCGAGAGCCAATTTGTTTGACAACTAAGGCATTCGACTACCAAGGTACCACTGTACTATATTTCACTTGGTTACTGTTCCTTTGAGCCAAGCTTGCAGGTAGTTCTCGCTCTTGTCAGCTCCAGAATCTCCTTGCAGAATTCTCACTGTTCAATACCTCTATATGGCCTGACTACCCATTGATAAGGCACAGTGAAGCATTACAGGGGGTTGAACTACTAGATGGCCCTCGCGGCCCCTTTGAACTCTACAATTCTATGCTTCTAGGAGCAGTATTGCGATATGAAGCGATTGTGCATGCTTTGAAAAGGATACGTCCATTAAAGCAATCATGCTGCGGCAGGACTCCAGCGCAAACCCTTTTGTCTTCAGGTCCTGGTCTGAAATAATTGGGTTAAATTAGATAAACATTAATATATAATTGCACATTTTATTGGTCAGTTAATCGGGTCAATGACTAATAGCAGGTCTGCTTGAAAAACAAACCTTGGGATTTATTATGGCACAGACCAAGAAACTCCTTACATAGCCCAAATGTACTTTGATCTATAGCAACTACTTTAAGGGTCTGGATTAAACACCAGCAACTGTTAAGTCTGCGATTGTCACCGATGTCATTGGCACCATATACAGTAATAAAAACAAACTGACAACCAATACTTCACAACTATTAGGTGATTTAAGATTCTGGCAACAGAAGACTGTTCTAAACATTTGCAAACTGATGCCTAGCCATCATATAATTGACTAAGAGGAATTTATTACTCTTCTGGAAGACCTTCATCCATATTTTAAAAAATATCTTCAAATAAGACTTACGATGATGATGATGATTTATTAGTTGCTCATTAACAAGGTAACCAAGTGACTTACATTTAAAAGTGTAAACATAAATACATTATATCATTAAACAATCTATGGCCTCTTAAATTGTGGGAGGTATTGTTTTTGTTTGCTAATATGTATTTTTGTGTTTTTTCTATTGTAAACTGCCCTGTGATCCTCAGATGAAGGGCGGTACAGTATAGAAATTTAAATTTATTTTTTTATTTAAAAAAATGTAAGCAAAGAAGTGATACTAGTGCAAAACCCCAGGGTTTGGTAATTTCTTTTGGCAGGCAGAATAGAAGGACGGAAAGGGAAACCAAGCTTACGTTTTTTCAGAACATTGTTGAGGACATTCTGGAGTTCATC